ATTCATTCGTTACATTTCAGGCAAAGCATTAAAAGTCAAAACTCGAGAGACTTTGCTATCGATTTAAAGCCCAACCAATCATATGATACACGGATTCCGTGGGAACCGTTCGGAGACGACTCCTAATGGCAACTCATTTGTGATATTTCTCTCTCTGTTTTGCTAATTAATCGTTACATTTCTCTATTGTTTTCCAATTGTCGCTATTATTCCTATTCCCAGACATATCTATATTGAAACGATTATCGCATCATTCAATTGACACACAATTTGCAAATAGTTTTCTAAATGATTTCAAATTTTATATGATTTCAAATGCAATACTCATAAAACAACTAACATATAATGTATTTAATATAGGCAACTAAACTAAAATATATATATTTTTTAATTTGCATTTTTATTCCCACGTTAAATCAATATTTATGTAAATTCTGTACAATTCTGTAACCAATTCCGACCACTATTTAACACATACTTTATGTTTGTCGTGAAATTCTTGCACTCAATTGCACTGAAAACTTTGAAAACACACGTTATTTATGACACTAATTGACAAAATTAGCCAGTTTATTTAACTTAATTGTCTAATCAATTTAATTAACTCATACTTAATTGCATTAAACTCTTTGTCAAACAAATTTAACCACCGATTGCCACATTAATCACGAGACAAGTGATAAAATCTATGCATTTATAGCACACTTTGCGTGTAATGTCTGTATAAATGAGTTGTGTTTGAGTTGTTGTGCGAAAAAACACGTGTTTTTTGAAGACATCAACAAAACAGCGAAAAATTGTTTCAAAACTCAACCCAAAAGTGAAGACAATCTGAAGATATGAGTCGCGGATTCGGTGGTCGAGGCGGCGGTGGGGGCCGTGGCTTCGGAGGAGGCGGTGGTGGCGGCTTCAGAGGGGGCGGAGGCGGCCGTGGTTTCGGGGGTCGAGGGGGCGGCGGACGAGGCGGTGGTCGCGGAGGGTTTGGTGGCGGCGGCGGCCGTGGCTATGACGCGGGCCCTCCGGAGTTCGTCAAAGAGTTCGGTCACTACACCCATGAGTGCCAAAACCAGTTGGTGGTGAAGGCGGACGTAGAGGAGGTGCCCTTCTTTAATGCCCCCATTTATACGGAAAACAAGCAACAGATCGGAAAAGTGGACGAAATCTTCGGATCCATCAGAGACTACGTGAGTGTTGTGTTATGTGTGTGGACTGCGATTGGCCACCAATTTGTCTCTCAATCTAATGATATCTCTTGTATTCGCAGTCAATATCAGTGACACTGCAGGAGAACATGAAGGCGTCGTCGTTCCCAATCCAACAGAAGTTTTATATCGACCCCCAGAAGCTGTTGCCTCTGCAGAGGTTTCTGCCGAACGCCTCCGGAAAGCCCAGTGGGGGCAGAGGTCGCGGTAGAGGCGGTGGCGGTCGTGGTGGTGGTGGACGAGGCTTTGGTGGCGGCCGTGGATTCGGCGGCGGAAGAGGTGGTGGAGGCGGACGCGGCTTCGGAGGAGGCCGTGGAGGCGGCGGTGGCCGTGGTTTTGGTGGCGGCGGAGGTCGCGGAGGCGGTGGGCGAGGGTTTGGCGGCGGCCGAGGAGGCGGTGGTTTTAGGCGATAAATCGCGACTATTTAGACACATTTCTAAGCAAACCATTCATTTTTATCATTATTTTGTTAATTGAATTCAAATTACTGTATATTTTCGACATTTTATTGCATTTTTGTAATGAATTTAATGAATGAAATGAATATTTATGATAATTAAGTGTCAAATTTGATGTGTTTATTGAGTTTCGGCTCAACACTAGTCATCACATTCTCGGCTCTGTTTATGATCCGATCAAAGCCTCGGGTTTTATGTTTGGATTTATTGTTGGGATTAGGGTTTGACTTCCTTTTGATCCTTTCGTCGAATATTTGGTTCCAATACTCGGACTCTTCATTGCCCTCCAGAACAGACAGATCTCCCATTTGTTTCAGTCTTTCCAATTGAATCAATCGCTGGCAGTCATCGGCGCTATTGGTCCGCACATAGCAAACACCACACAGTGTTTGGCTGTCTTTGAATATCATGTGATTCTTCGGCAAATCAATGTACGAGATCTGACGGCTTTCGGCCATCGATCGGATGTTTCGCTTGAATTCACTCTCATTGAAGTCCAGCGAAGAGACCGTGAAATTCAATCTAATAATAAGTCCCGATTCGTAGGACCGGTCGCTCGACTGGTTGTCCTCCTGAGTCGACTCGCTCTCCATTTGCGGGCGATTTGTGTTGTCCTCAGTCTTCACCAAAAGAGATCTCTTCAGGGAAGCCATGGATTGCTTCTGGAGTTTTAGGTACTTATTCTTCCAGCGCTTCCACTCCCTCTTCGACATAACCCTCAGATGTATGGCTTCTGTGAGCGGGTTATCGTCGACCAGATCCGCGGCAATCGGTTTCTGCTTCTTTCGTCTCTTCTTTTTCTTCTTCTCCTTTGTTTTATCGCTAATTGTCTCACAATTTGTTTCACGAATTTTATCCACAGTTTGCGTAACGCTTTCCAAACCATCGGTCGGCGAGACTTTCGCTTTCTTGGACTCAACCACCGCTTCGTCGTCCGCCTCATCGCGTGATCTCTTGCGCGACACTTCCGGCTGAGACTCGCCATCGCATTGGTCTTCGTGGGCGATGTGTTCAGACTCTGAGACGCTGTCTATTTGGTGGTCAGGCGTCTCGTCGGGGATGTCGTCCGACGGGACGGCATTGAAATGCTTTAACGCCTTCTGCGCCGACAGCCTGTCCTCGTACTCGACGAAAGCGAAGCCCATAATCATGTGATTGTGTCTGAAATGCGGGACTTTTATGTATTGGATGCGACCGAAGGGCTCGAACACCGATCGGATCCACTGGTGATCGGCAGTGGGCGGCAGTCTCTCCACATAAATGGTGAGCTCATCGACCTCTTTGGTGTCTTGCGTGGCGAACGGATCCACGCGTTGCACCGTTTGCTGCGTTTGGTTCAAAGACAGACATTTGGATCTCTCGAGCGCCAGACTTATGTCGCGAGTGTTTTGTGTCATTTCAGAGATTTTGTTGAACTTCAAGAACTCATTCAATGGCACACATTGTCTGCCGCGAAGCTCAGGGTCTTCGGCGCCGATCAGTTGCCGCATAAAGCGGTCGTGTCTTAGGTTGGCGTCACTGAAGTAGAACTCAATCTATGGGAAAGACATCCAATGGATAGTGAAATGTGAGTACCTCCGGAGGAATACATCAAGTGGTCAATTGTGTGATACATACCTGTTCTCGGATGCCATTCAAGAGCCTCTTCTTGCGCTTTCGGTGATGTCTTTCCATCGGAAGCGATGAATCGGTGGTCATGTGATGATCAACTCGTGGCGGCAATGGTTTGACAATTGATTTCAAAATTCAAGTTTCAATTCAATGACCAAAACATAGGTTTTGTTGACAAACGAGTCACGCGTTCAGTAATAACGCTATCCTTTGGCACTGTTTTGGCACAACTTTTTCTGTTCACAACTTTTGCCAACATTTTCAACATTAAATCGTTAACTAATTCATTCGTGTTTCATATGTTAACAATTAATTATTTAAAAGTTTAATCAATGTCTATATTATATTAAAAATTTAAAAACCCAAAATCAATAAATATGTTTATTTTATAAATTTTTTTATTTCAATAAACTTATAATTAAAACAATATATTGATTACATATATCATAACTTACAATCAAATGAGACATACAATTAACATACAAATGGTAACAAAATCAGTATTTTGGTGGATAACTATTAGGCGGATAGTAGGGCTCATCATAAATGATGGGTTGCTCTGGTTTTGGCTCATATGAGGGGTAAGAAGTAGGCGGAGGGGGTGGAGGAGGCGAGTACTTAGGGCTATAAGAATGCTTCGGATAATCAGAGTAAGTCATGGGAGGGGGAGGGTATGCCTTCGGGGGCGGTGGATAACTGCCGTAATGGGGCGGGTATGAGGGCTCGGGTTTGTAGGGATAGATGTAGGCCTGCTTTGATGGGGGCGGGGGTGGCGGTGCGCTGTATGGCTGAGGCTTTTTGTACTCATAGTAGTCGTCGATTGGGTACATAATCGCCGGATGAGGGGTCGGAGGAGGCATTGGATGACTGGGTTTGTAGTGTTTTTTGTTGGGCTTGTATTTCATGTAATCTGATTGATATATCGGCATAGAGTAGGCATACTTCTGGGGCTTATATGAGTCATAGGGTTTTGGTGGCGGGGGTGGAGGAGCGCTGTAGTAATCAGGCGGTGGGTACGGCATCTTTTTGGGCGCACTCTTGTAATAGTGGGAAATGTAGTCACTTTTAGGTGTTTCGTGCGCCGGATAGGGATGACTGATGTACTCCAGTTGTGGCTCCTCATAGCTCGTGTAGGGAACGGGAGGACTGTTGTAATAACTGGTTGGCGGCTCGTATTGTGGCCTTTGATACGCCGTTTCCAATAAAATCAAATCATTTTCACTGACTTTTGTCGTGCAGACCAATGGAGTAATAAATAAAAGCAAAAGAATCTGAAAAATATAGCAAAAGTTTATTGAAAAAGTTTTTATAAGTTATTAAAAGTTTTCAATCAATTCATCGATTCGCTCACCATTTCGTGATTAATGTATGAAAAGTATTAATAAAGTTGTGAAAACACATGAAAAGTGATGGACACAGATGTGCGGCACAGGACTAATGAGAAGCAAATGAAACAGAATTGTCTTAAAGTAATAGCTTTTTATATATAACTTCAAAAACAGTGAGCATTGCGTCAAACGGTAAGTGATTTTGTAATTAACGTCTTAAGACTCGCCCCAAACACTAATCTAAACCTCTTTCGTGAAGTACTTGTTTTCTATTGCTTTGCGTAATAATTTTTTTAGACAAACTCTTTTCAACAATAAATCTCTCAAATCATTCACTTTCTCTTTCTCTCTATTGTTTTGTTTGTTTTGCTATTTATTTATAGACTATATTTGATTTTAATTTAAATTTGATTGAAATGATTTTTTTAATTTCCAATTTTTGATAAGACATAAAAAGTTTAGCTTTATTTCTTTGACATTATTTTACAAAAGTTTTGCAACTGATTTGAGTGCTTTTTAAAATATAAATTTGAATGTTTTTATGGTGTGTGATGAGTGTGTGAGACTTCAATAAATTAACGAGGGTATAATTAATAAAGTGTATGAAATTAAAACCATAGACTTATATAATATTACAAAAGAGTTTTACAAGAAAAAATAATTTTTAATAAAAAAGGTGTTGATTTTGAAATGATGTTTAACACAAATATTTGTCTGACTTATTTTGCTGATTAAACTAAAAATTTCAATTTTTAAGTGATTAACCAGAATTTGCATAAATTGTTATTTTGTGAATATAATATAAAAACACATTTTATTATTCAATTTTTGAGAGACGAATTGAATTATTAAAAAGTCGAAAGTAATAAAAAGTGTTCAAACATTCAGCGAAATGCAAATGAGAGCAAAATTATCATTTAGTCGTTTGAAATGCATTGTTATATTTGTTGGCATCACTTCCTATCCCTTCCCACTGATCGTTGACCCACTCTTTCTGCCAAAACCCATGTTGTGATCAAATAAAGACATTTCTCTCAATTAAATAGTATTTGATTTTATTAAATAACAATTTGTGTTTTAATTATTTGTTAGTTATTATCTTTACGGAACTCATACTCTATTAAGACGGGGGGTAACCAGTCGTACAAAGATAACTAAGATTACAATTTTTAGTAACTTGATAACATAATTTATAGAATTTATAAAAAAAAATAATGTTTGTTTATTTTATTAATATTGTTAATTCATTTGCATTATTACAGATTTATTTAAAATATAAATTTACATTATTTAATAAATCTGTTTGATAAACTAGGTACAGTATATTAATAAAACATTAAATAATAAGATACATATTTTTATTTGGTATGAGAACAATACAGTACGATAATATTTGATTACAGAGTGAGTTTAAACAAGTTATACTTTTGTATAAAGTGAAAAATATGTTACTTTTAAATATTTTAAATATTCTCAAATTTTGAGTCAGAATTTCTGTCAAATTATTTAAAACTAATTCAAAGGTTAATACCATTTGAGTCGTGTGTGCTATAATTGAATGCATAATACTGTACAGAATTTTATATAAATTATAGGATTGCCTAAAAGTTCCCCAAATGAATGTCATTGAATTACATTGTGTCAGAATTGTATTATTATTAACATGAAAACTGTACTCAATTTGCTAAAAGGTGAGAGAAAAAGTAGATTTTCATATAATTTAAGGTTAAATCTCTGCGCTTAATATTTAATTTATATAATTTTTGGCGAGATTTTTGGCAACAGTTTTCGCACCCTTTTCACTGTTCACAGTTGGATGACATATAATTGTAAACCACTACATGCCATACAATATGTCTTAATAATACAGTATTAATATAGAGTACAATATAAAATTGCTATCAAATTATTTATTGGAATTTGCAAAATTTAAAAATATAGTTATTATCAATAATTAAAAACTTTCTGTTAATTTAATTGAGACTAATTCCAGACACAATTCAAATGAGAAATACATTGTGTCTGCGGTCAGACAAAAGACAATTTGACACAAATCGCTGGATATCGTGACAATTAGTTCATCAAAAATATATGATTGTTATGATTATGTTTATATTAATACGTGCTTTAAAGTGCTCATGTTTAAATCCGCTGATAATAAACTTTTTTAGGTCTTCTATTCATTAGATTTTTGAGATCAACGCTGATATCCAAAGCGGAAATGTCTGCACTGTTTATAGAAATCGTTTTGATTGTATTTGTATTAATTTTATTCTTTATATTTTTATCGCATATCCGATTGTCTGACTCTGACTACTAAATAAATTTAATATTTCTAAATACTGTAGTCGATAAACATTTGTGCAAATTTATGATGAAATTATGTGGAAACTCAAAATATTGGTACAACGAAACTGAGATTCTTATAATAGCATATTTGTAACTTATTAATTATTAATAAGTTAATTAGTAATTCACTTTTAATGTCATTAGTCAAATTGAGACTGAACCGTTTAGCACTTATTCGACACATCATTTTCATACTGTCTTTCAACATATGATTTGAATTAAGTTTTACAAATAGCTTATTTGAAATAAGGCTATTGTTGAGTACTATTGATCAATCATTAACTTTTATAAATAATTTTCACTATTATTTGGCAATTAGAATATTACTAAAAAAGTACTTATAAAAATTACACAATAATAAGCATTACATACTTGATTACATACATAAATTATAGTAAAGTAACATTGTAAATTATATCAATAGATTAGATCATCTATTCTCTCATGAAGTACAGATAATTACGAAATCACTGTTTGTTTAAATGGTTTATTTTATTAATATATAAATCAATTACACGTTACGTAATCATAGAAAAGTATAGGTATATCACAGTTTTAATTATTGTTAAATTATGGCAAATAATCATATTGAAAGTGCTTGATGAGTTATGAATGGGTTTGGGAGGTATGGGATGGGATGTGCTAGTGATGACGGCTGCAGACAAAAGAGTACTGCTCTTTGGCACAACTCTGGCACTCGACTTCACAACAGTATTTGAATTTACAGTTACAACTCGTGATGACCCGACGTCTCTCTCGTCGCACTTTGTGTCCGCATTGAGTACACAGTTTACGACAACTCCGCTTCTCCTCTTTGGACGCCCCTCTCGTCCGTCTCTGCGAGCAATACCGGCCTAACGTGCCATTAGAGCCCAGCGTCGCGTTCGCGATGCAATAGTCGGGCGAGTCTTCCGCGTAGATGAGACTCATCTTCTGTATATGTTGTGCCGACTTCTTCATCATATCCTTCTCTCTCACCCTCTCTAAGATTGGGTCAATTTTGACGGCTTTCCTATAGGCGCGCTTCAAATAGTCGCCCACTTCTTCGAATGTGTTGATTCGCATCCAACAGGTCTGCAGAGAACAGGAACCGCTCACTCCATGACATTTGCATATCTTGATCATCGTTTCTTTGACTGCCTGTCAAATAGTATAACATTTTTTTTATTAATGAATCATTTTTGGTCAAGTGTTAAGCAAAATACAGTAAAAGTCCTCAACATTCGAGTCTCTATAATGAATTCAAAATTCGTATAAATTTTCTAATTTTGAAACACTTTTGAAGAGTTTTTTTGTGGAAACTTATTGAAAAGACATTTATGGATGACTTACTTGTCGGCCGACCTCATAATTATGAAGCCTAATCTTAGCATTGGAGTCAAATTGACCCAATTCGCGATTATCCAGGTATGTGATGGCTATTTTCGACCCGAAATCCGTGTTATCACTACAACCGCCCCACAGAAATCCAGTCTTAGCCGTGTCCTCGCGTTTGGTTTTCTTGGCCAAACACTTACAGCCATCCATTTGGCCTAAACTACAATTCCGGGTCACTGTATACACAATACCGGCGCTTAGGATCGCCTGAACGAACGCAATCTCTCTGTTGGCTAGAGATGTTGGCATTTAGTATACAAATTGTAGTCATATAAATGATAGTAATATAGGGAATACCGGGTAACTCCCGGGATGTCTTGAACACATCGCCAAATGTCATCTCAGGACAGGACCAGCGCTCAAACGAGAACTGTCGCAAACACTCGTCTAAATATATCAATGATTTAAAAGTTTATTTTTTTAAATCAAATCCTTTTTTTAAATAATTATCATTTACTTAATCCTTTTTGAGCCCCAATGGCCACCGACTCAGCATTGGTTATAGTGGCCTAAAGTTTTTTATTAAAAAACATAAGTTGTTTTGAAATGGGGTTTTAAATCACGCAAAACTTTTATTATTTACTTGACTTCCGGTCAAAAGTAGATTCCCAATAGACCTGAAGAGAGGATTGTTCACAATATTACTCAATATATTTAAAAGAATATTCTTATAACTCATACCAGGGGTATATTTCAGTGAAATATAAACACAAAACTAGAAAACATATCGTATTCCTCATATTAGTATTGTTTATAACGCGTGTCGTTGTCGTCGAGAATGTTGTCAATCGCGGGACACTCTATTGAAATGAGTATCTGTTTTGTGAGAAGTTGTGTCCAAACATGCAGTTGGGAGGCATCCCTCACAAGAGCCGGGCCATCGCGCCTGACCTCACATAACAATTGGGTAGAAGTGATTGAAAACACTTTTGTTGTAATTGTCTACTTATTTCATACAATATCTGTATATATCTGTTGTATTCATCAATTCATGGGATTTGCGAGCGTTTGCTGGGAATTCATCCCAAAGGTATTAGCTCTTCAGTAAGGAGTGGTTCCAATTGTTTATGGCATTCAACTCTTTCATGTTTCATCAAATCTAATACTCTTTCGCAGAGCCCTATGTTCTCACGTCTCATATGTTTTTAATTAAAAAATTGGGAGTACCGGTGCTCTTGATCTGTGTGGTGGTGCCATAATTTATTCATTAATTCGCTCTGATTTTAAAATTAATTACTGATTGGGTATTGACTCGCGAGAGAGAGAGAGAGAGAGAGAGAGAGCTGTCCAGTAATTACTTCAATACTGGAAAACACTGTCAGTGTTTGGGAAATGAGTTGTCATTTAGGGTCCGAAACAACACAAAAGTATTTAAAGCGATCTTTTGGGCTCTTTTGGGGATTAAATACTTTAATCCATCGCAAAGTCTCAGAGACATGAGAACCAACTCTTTTCCACCAAATATTCCTCTCATTCATCAATACTAACGACAACTTCACACGACTCGCACACACAAAGAGCTGACGACTTATTATCACTTTTTAATGAATTTATTAACAGAAATAGGGATATATTTCCGGTTTATTAACCATATTTTCCGAGAAAAGCGTTCACAAAATGAAATCATTCTCAGCGAAATGTGGGTTTTTTTTGTAAAAACTAAAATGAGAAAAATTTATTTCTTTCAATATATTGTGTTTACAATAAGTATATTTCCAAATAACAGGAAAAAAAATAATTATTATTATTATATTATTATTAAAAACTCTAATATAATTGTCACATTAAATTGCATTACGAGTAGTCAACAATTAATTAGTCAATTTTATAGACAATTCAAATCACATTTAAAACTCTATTGAAAAAATATATAATTAATGAAATTCAATGGAGAGAACTTTGAGTTAAACAATGGTTTGCGTCCATAATATGTTATATATATAACTATTTAACATTTATATTATATATAATATAATCTCAGATCAAAAATAATAAATTAATGGAAGAGTGGATAAATTAGTGAAACAAAAAACGGTGTCATTAGTTGTACGGCCCGTACGGCCCCTTCTCCTTGACATCGCCGGTGCGCTCCTTTCGCTGGCGAATCATATTCGGTGAGACAGTCTTGCGATCGTAGGCCCACCCGATGGCGCCGAACAGGTCTATGAAACAAGTGGTGAGATTGTAGTCGCGGCCCAACTCGGACGTCGCGTAATCCCAGGGAAACGTGTGGTGATAGTTGTGGAAACCTAACCGTCCATTCAAAGCGTTAGTTAATCACTGATAATAACGTCACACGTCGAGCAAACGGGGCATACCTTCGCCGATGGCACCGATGATTGTGACGCTGTTCTCCGAGGGGTTGATGTGCTTGTCGTAGGGCCGGCGGCCCCAGAAGTGGGCGGCGCTGTTCACCAGCCACGTCATGTTCAGTGTCCAACAGTACCGGAACATACCGCAGATGAAGTAGGCGTTCCAATAGCTCTCACCCCACAAGACGTAGGGTATGATTGCGGGCAACACGAAGCAGAAGACGAGAACGAGTTGCAGATAGTATTTCTTCTGGAAGCGCACGAGTGGGTCCTGAAGCAGGTCTTCGCAGCTCACGTTTCGGCCCTTTTCGATGACATCGGGATGTTTGCGACACAACAGCCATCCGCAGTGCGCGAAGAAGAAGCCTCTGTTGGCGTTGTGGGGGT